CATCCTTGATTATAGCAACTCGAGGTTTGAATTTGTTCTTCAGTTCCTTGAGCTTAAGATATGCTGAGCGAGTTCGGCCCTTTTGATTTTCCGACTCCAGCTCCTTGCACATTTCATTGTATTATTTTGCTTTGTCAAGAGCCCTCATTGGGATTTTCTGTTTGTGCATACTTGTGTAGTATGTACACAAGTGTACTTGTGTACCCTTTAAAATAAATGTAGCTCCACTGCCAATAATGAAAAAGCGAAGCAACATTATATTCATTGCTTCATTATTTTAATAGTTCAGGATATTTTTAGGAATATGAATAATGTATGTTAATTTTATATTATTTGATGATTAGGGGGACAGCAAAGGAGAGGAAGATCTTCAACCAGATAAGTAGAATAGGTGGACACAATGACTGTAGTAATGGGCTCGAGTGTGTCAGAGATTGTTAGCATGGTACAGGATAGGACAGGGTTCATATCTTTTGTGCAGAGGGTTGCTATGAGCTGTATTAAATAGCAACAAAACAAAACCAAAAATGATAGCAAAGAGTTGGAAACAACCCAAGGGCCCATCAACAAACAAATGAATAGAGAAGCTGTGATATATTCATACGATGGAATACTATGTTGCACTGAGAAACAAGGAACTCATGAACTATTATACAAAATGGGTGACCCTAGAAGACATTATGCCGTGTGAAATATCTCAGTAACAAAAAGACAAATACTGCATAATGCCACTGTTGTAAAACGGGACTGACATCAGAGTTGGGGGGAATCTAAGAAAAAAGGGGATAAATAATGTATACTGTGTTGAAGCAGATGAGGGAGAGAACTGTTTAAAAGGAACATATGATTACATATTGTTTTCATGACAAGAGTCCAGAATAAGAGCTGCACAGTAAAGTGGACAGGGGGGTGGGGACTATATAACAATGAAAGAATTGTTTTTCTTTTCAAAGAGAAAAGTGAACTTGGGGGAGGGGTGGGCAGGGAGGAAAAGATATAACAATGGTTGAATGGAAATCCAAAGTCTCTATAAACGTTTATTAAAATCTCAATTTGCAAAAAACATAAAAATAGAGAGGGAGAAATTTTGCTTTCCCAGAAATGATTTTGTGTACAACATAAAAGTTTAAAATGAAAAAACCAAACCCCACTCAAAAATCATGTATTACTCTGGGTTTCAGAGAACTAACATTTAGTTGCTAGTAGCTATCAATCTCCTCCTCTTTGGCTTTACTTGTTGGTGCATATATTTGACTGGGGTAATGGGGTAGGTGTGATGGAGATGGTAAGATTGGCACAGGATAGTTGTGCATAGGGTCACTATGAGTTGCAGGTGACTTGACGGCACATAACAAGAGCAACAACAACCCATGTTTTATTGTTGTTGTTGTTGTTATGTGCCGTCAAGTTGCCTGCATCTCATAGTGACCCTATGTACATTAGCTCTGAAACCTTCCCTATCCTAAGCCAATCTTATCATCTCCAACAGATGTAATCCCATTTCTCTAGTCACTGAGTCAATCCATCTCTTCTTGGGTCTTTTCCTCCTGTGCTGTCCCTCCACCCTTCCAAGCATGTTGTTCCTCTCCAAGCACTGGTCCCCCTGGCCACGTGCCCAATATATATGAGATGAAACCTCAAAATCCTTACCTCCAGGAAGCAGCCTGGTTTCACATTGTCCAAGATTGACCTGTTTGTTCTCCTATCAGTCCATGGTATGTTCAGTACTCTTCTCCAGCACTCAGGGTCATTGATCCTTTTTCTATCATCCATAGTGATTGTCCAACTCCCTGATGCAAGTAATGGCAAAACCATGGACTGGATCAAGTGCACCTTAGTCTCTAGACTGACATCATTGCTCTTCAGTATTCTAGAGAGGTCCCTGTCAGCAGACTTTCCCAATGCAATTCATCTTTTGATTTCCTGACTGCTGGTTCCAATAGTGTTGATTGTGGAGCCAAGCAAACTAAAGTTGTTAACAATATCAATCTCTTCACAGTCTATCATGATGTTGCCTACTGGCCCAGTGATGATAATCTTTGTTTTCTTGACATTGGGCTTCAATCCGTACTTAAGGCTGCAGTCTTTGACCTTCTGCTGAAGGTATCAACAATCTCAGTCTCTTCTGCATCGATCATGAAGCTGCTGATCGGTCCAGTGGTGAGATTCTTTGTTTTCTAGATGTTAGGCTTCAATCCATACTGAAGACTACAATCCTTGACTTGCAGCAAACACCTCATTGTCCTCTTCTGTTTCAGCAAACAAGGTTGTGTCATCTGTATAATGCAAGTTGTTGAGTCTTCCTCCGGTTCTGATGCCATATTCCTCCTTGTAGTGTCCAACCTTCTGAATGATCTGTTCTGCATATAGATTGAAAAGGTATGGAAATAGGATGCATCCCTGATGCACACGTTTCCTGCTCCTGAACCATGCAGTATTTCCCTGCTCTGTTCTGACTACTGCTTCCTGGTTGAAATATAGATAGGTTTCGCATGAACACAATTATGTGTTCTGAGATTCCCCATTCTTCTCAAGGTTAGCCACAATTTGTGGCTCAAATCTATCCCACCAGAATTTAAAGACCATCTCAGGAACAGGTTTGAAGCCTTTAACACTAAAGAGCGAAGACCAGTGAGCTGTGGGAGGATATCAAGAATATCATTCATAATAATGCAAAAAGTCACTTCAAAGACAGAGGAGAAAGAAAAGATCAAGATGGATGTCAGAAGAGACTCAATATTGCACTAAAACACCAAGAAGTCAAAGCAAAGGGAAGAAATCAAGAAGTTGAGACGTTAAGGAGCTGAACAGATTCCAAAAGGCAGACAGAAAGACAAAGCAAAATATAATGAAATGTGAAAGCAGCTGTAGCCAGAAAAGCAAAAGGATGGAACTCACTCACCATTTCTTAAACTATAGGAACTGAAGAACAAATTCAAGCCTCAAGCAGCAAAAAGCAGAATGTTGAATGACCCAGGAAGTATCAAAAGATGGAAAGGGTACTCAGAGGCACTATATGAGAAAGAATTGGCTGATGCAGAAGAATACATGAGACAACATATGATTAACATATGGTGATGAAGAACGAAGTTCAAGCTGCTCTGAAGGAATTTGCAAAAAAACAAGGCCTTAGGAATTGATGGAATACCAATTGACATGTGTTAGTAAGCAGATGCTGCCCTGGATGTGCTCACAAGGTTATAGCAAGAAATCTTAAGGACAACTACCTGGTCAACTGATGGAAGAAATCTGTATTTATTCGCATTCCAAAAGAAGGTTACCCAACAGAGTGTGGAAATTATCAAACAGTATCACTAATATCACATGCAAGCAAGATCCTGCTGAAGATTATCTAGAAACGACTGGAACAAACAGTTCATTAGCAAAGAACTGTCAGATGTGTAGGTTGGGTTTAGAAGAGGCCATGACACTAGGGACATTATAGCCTTATAATGTTTATCTGTGTTTCATTGACTAAGTATTAATCCACTTCCTAAATGTGTCTCCAGAAACTATGAACTTTGATAAATGTCCATAGTTGTAGAGGGACGTCAGGCCTTTTTTCCATATGACCATAGTGTAAGATATTGTTGATTGCCTTCAAGTTGAGTACAACATATAGCGATCCTATGGAAAAAAGGCCTGACGTCCCTCTACAACTATGGACACTATGGTCAAAATATACTGGTTCCTTAAATTATTACCAATTGCTTCTCTGAGATTATAGGGAACACCAAACATATAGTACATATCAGTACCTCAAAATATTTTCTGTTTAGTGTTGGAAATGAACAGGCCATGCATGGTCTGAGAGGGACACCAAGTGACTGAGCAAAGAAAAGGTCAAAATGGTGGGACCACTGACAAGAATGATTTCTTTTGATAGGTGGTTTTAGAGAGGACTAGGGAAGATGATAGTTTGCTCAAAATTTGGGGCAGGGTCCTGTCAAATAACTTGGGTGTGAGATTTCATGATCAGGCCCAGAGTCTTATCAGGATCCAGTTGTCTCATTTGGTCAGGATTTAGACATTATCCGGTCTCTCCAAGGAGTGATCAGGCCCAGAAGCAACAATGACATTCTTCCTCCACTCCAAACCTTTACCTTAGAGGAATATTGTGACTAGGGGTGGAGTTATTTATAGCTACTTCCTTCTGGGCAGGGGTGATGGAGGAGGGGCTGGTGCTGGTTTCTTATAAGTTCTGAAGGAGGGGCATAGTTTTCACATGCTCTTTCAGGAAATTACCATGAGCCATTCTAGAAGTTTCTGAAAGATATTTATAAAATTCATTTTTATATTTATATTTTCACGAAAACATTTATATCCAACACCTAGTGCATAAAGTATAGAGACAACCAGTCAGATCTGATTTGGTGGTACACACATGAAAAATAATAATAATTAAAAAATTAAAATATAGAGACAATGTTTGCTTTCATATAACATGGCCTAGACACAGAATTTTCTTGAAAATAATTTCTTTTCCTAGAGGAATAAACTGGTATTCCCAAGGCACTCAGCATATAGAACAGAATGAATGAATGGCAAAATCACACCTTACTTTCTAATTTTCAATGACCTTTGACTAGTTTGAATATTCAGGGATATTTTTTAAAGGGGGGAGTTTATTTAGAAATAAATATATCTGCTAAAGATATTTTTAAATGAACTCATGACCCTAAAGAACATTTTGTACAAAATAAAGTATGTACTTACACTGAGTTCTATTAAGCACCAAATTCTAAGTGCTTGAAATACACAGTTGCTTATACAAAGCTGATTTTACAGATTGGTGGCAGAATTCCCTGCAACTGGAGGAATAATTACTTCATGGCAGTTTTATTCGGTGAAGCTCCTTAGATACACTAGCAAGTATGATTATTTTATTGCTTTCTGTGAAAGCATGTTTTGTATTTTTCTCATTGTCTTCACAATACAAGAAGCAAAAAAATTCAAAGAATTGAAACATGCCTATTTCAAAAGCATTTGGAACTGGATAGAATTGCTCATTTTGTTGGTAAGTACATGTTCCTGTATATGATGAAAGGAGATCACATCTGAACTCAGCAGTGATCTATTCTTTCAAGATTTACTTTAAAAACTACAATATGGATCATAAAATGAACTTCTGTCATAGTACATCCTTATACTGTGCTTCTAAAAAGGGGAAAGTATATTTATTTATTTATTCCCTCCCTCTACTTCCTTTCTTCATTCTTTTCTGTCTTCAAGAGAATAAAGATAAACCTAGACAGACAGGTGATTCCATGAGCATTGTCACTTACTATGACTAGGTAGGCCTCCTGACACCTTCTTTAAAAATACTTTTCTCATAGAGTCTCATGTTTCACTAGTCTTGGGTCTTTGGGGGATCAAGATCTTTTAAAATGTTCTCTACTATGTTGCCTAAATCTGCTCTTCTTGCACTAGATTTTGAAAACATAGGCAAGGAACAAGCCTAGGCAGAATAGTGGAGTAGGAAGAGGTGGCCTCATGGTAAAGAGCTGTACCTCCAACCTAAAGGCTGGTGATCTGAATCTACCAGAGACTGTGCAGAAGAAAAAATGGACACTCTCCTCCCATTTTATTTAATGCCTCTGAAAACTCTCTGGGTAGTTACACAATAACAAGTAGATCTTGTAGACTAAAGACAGGGGATTGGACACCAGAACTGGTGAGTAGTCCCTGAAAGAAACCAATGATTGTCAGTTTGGTCAATGAATATGTTGTAATAAACAGGTAGCCAGGGTAGATGAATAGTAAGAACTTGGTCTTAGAAACAATCAGTAAAAAACTTTTTGGCTAATACAAGTCCGATCTTTTCCTTTTATTTGGCCCTTAATTATAGCTAATACAATATTTAAGCCTTATTTTTCTAAACTAGATGTGATTTATCAGTCAGAAAGTGTGCTGCCTACCTCTTATCCCCACCAAATTTTAACATAAGGAATAGACTAAAATAGTTATCTAAAATCTGGCAAAATAAGTCAAAGGAAAAAACTCTGGTAACTACTAATCTCTGATACTTGACTCTGAAATAATCTTCTAAACAGATTATTAAAGGTTCTAAAAAGTTTTGAGGGGGTTTTTTGGTAAATCTTTCCTGGAACATTACATGATGCAAATGTATGAAACTCACGTATATCATGTGGTTACAGAGAGCAGAAACCCTTACAGTCTAGTAAGAATTACATAATCTGTGATTATGATTGTGATTTATGATTAAAACAAACAGGAAGATGGAATATGGTCTCCAGGCAGTCCTGTCTGATATCTCTTTCCCTTTTTGTTAAAACTTGATGAAATTTTTGTTTCTTCGTAGGCTAGATTTGGAACTATAAATAGTTCCTAATTTTACTCTTCTTATTTTCTGATTTAGTTGTGCTTTGCAGCTGTTTCCTTGAATTTATACTGCAATACACAAATTTTTCTCTCACTTGAACAACTTTTGGAAAACACTGAAAAATACCCAGACTTCTATTATCTTGCATACTGGTGCATTTATTACAATAATATAATTGCTGTTACCATCTTCTTTGCATGGATAAAGGTATTTCTGTTTTATTATATTTCATAATACAGCAGTCAATTAAATAATAAGAAATTAAACAACAAAGGAAAAAAGAATTTATTTTTATAATTTCTAGCAAATTATCAATTATCCTCTGGTTATCATTAAGCACTGTCTTTAATTTGAAGCATATTTCTTATGAAATGAATTTATACTAACAAGTAATAGTCTTTGATATTCTCTCTTCTAGTTCAGTTAACTTTGTTCTTTTGCAGATATTCAAATTCATAAGCGTTAATAAAACAATGTCTCAGCTATCTTCAACCTTGTCCCGCTGTATCAAAGACATACTAGGATTTGCCATCATGTTTTTTATAATATTCTTTGCTTATGCCCAGTTAGGATTTCTTGGTTTTGGATCACAGGTTGACGACTTTTCCACTCTTCAAAATTCCATGTAAGCTCTTAGTATAAATGTAATTCTAGTTTTTAGTTTATAACAACACAAATATAAAATTATGGTAAGACTTATGATAAGCAGTAACAAGTTTTAATAAATCTGCTCATGGTTTAATATTGTCATTGATGGCTATATATTGATCTCATTAATAAATAGAATTTAACAGGGAAATAGCCAAATGAATAGTTGTTGTTGTTGTTGTTATGTGCCATCGAGTCGTTTGCGACTCATAGCGACCCTAGGTACAACAGCCCTAAACCCTGCTATATCCTGTGCCAATCTCATTGCCTCTGACACACCCATTCCGATT